TATAGCTCTGTAGTGTAATTTAAGGTCTGATATTGTGATGCCTCCTGCATCACTTTTCACACTAAGGATTGCTTTGGCTATTCTGGGCCTTTCTTTTTCCAAATGAATTTCATGATTGCTTTCCCTATTTCTGTGAAGGATGTCATTGGGATCTTTATAGGAATTGCATTAAGTCTATATGGCATTTTGGGTAGTATGGCCATTTGATAGTATTGATTCTGCCTATCCAGGAACATGAGAGATCTTTCCATTTTCTGAGATCTTCTTCAATTTTTTTCTTTAGTGTTCTATAGTTTTCATTTACCTCTTTTGTTGATTCCCAAATATTTTTAGAGGCTATTGTAAAAGGGATAGTTTTCCTGATTTCTCTTTTACCTGATACATCATTGGTGTATAGAAATGGCAGATATGAAGAATATAAGCAAAAATAAACATTGGTGAGAATGTGGGGAGAAAGATACTCTCAATATGTTGTTGGTGGGACTGCAAATTGGTGAAACCACTGTAGAAAGCAATATAGAGATTCCTTAGAAAACTTGGAATGGACTCACCTTTTGACCCAATTATCCCATTCCTTGGTCTATACCCAAAGGACTTAAAAACAGCGTACTACAGCCACATCCATGTTTATAGCAGCTCACCTCACAATAGTCAAGCTATGGAAAAACCTAGATGTCCTTCAACAGATGGATGGATAAATACACACACACACACACAATGGAATATTACTCAGCCATAAAAAACAATGAAATTATTGCATTTGCCAGTAAATGGATGGAACTGGAGAATATCATGCTATGTGAAACAAGCCAGTACCCCAAAACCAAAGGCCAAATGTTCTCTCTGATTTGTGGATCATAACCCAAAGCAAAGGAGGTTGAGGAGGGGGATAATAGAAATAGATTGGATTAGACAAAGGATAATTAAGAGAAGGAGGTGGGAGAGAAATAGGAAAAACAATGGAATTAATTGGTCATAACTTTCCTAGCCTGTATTTGTATATATGACAAGGGTAGCTCCACATCATGTACGACCACAAGAGTGAGAACCTAATAGAATAAGTTATACTTTATATATGTATATTCTGCCAAAATACATTCTACTGTCATGTATAACTAAAAAAAAAAATTTAAGTATAATTGAGGGCTGGGGATGTGGCTCAGTGGTATGCCTTAAACCCAGGGCATGTATGAGGCCCTGGGTTCAAGCCCCAGCACTGTGAAATAAAACAAAACAAAAAGTATAAATGACCTAGCAATTCTACTTCTAAAATTTATCCTACATCTGTTTTCATGTGTATTAAAATGACACACATATAAGAAAATTCATTGCATCTTTGCATTTTTGTTCATAATAACAAAACACTGGAAACAACCCAAATGTCCATTAATAGGGAACTTGTTAAATAAATGTGGTGGCACATCCAAAGTACATAGCCCATAGTACACAGCCACAAAAACAAGTAAGAAATTCTTTCTGTACCAATATGAAGCAGATCTATAAACATATATTTTTTGTTGATTAAAAAAGGAAGATCTAGACAAAGGGTACAGTGCACTATATTAATTATATATAAAATAAGCATACTATGAAAATTAGTTTGCATACTGGGTCCTAGTATGAATACTTGTACACTGAGATTGTATATTATGTACTTTATGTATCTTTCCAGATAAAAACTTTTCACTTTGGGGAAAAAAAAGTCATATGTGTTTTTGCTTGCATACACAAAAACCATATGCAAATAAAACTACTTGCCTGGGGCAGGGGGCAAATTGGGTTCCTAGTGGGAGAATTTTACTATATGTCTTTTTGTACCTTTTGATTTTTGAAACTAGTGAACATATTATCTATTCCAAATAAATTATAATTTTTTAAAAGTCTAAGCTCAATTATTTGCCTTATAACTCTTAGTGGTGTATGAGGCCAAATACAAACTTTAGAGATGAGAGAGTCTAAAAAGCTCAATTTAGTCATCCTGGGATTTCAGTCTGGACTTAACTGAATCAATAATTTCTTCATTTTTCCCTATGTTAAGCTGGTCTCACACCCAACATAGCCTCTAATTTGTGGACGCATGATCAGTTTATTTATGGCCTTCAATTAAGCAATTGTAGGCTTAGATCTGCATGCTGATAAATGATATTATCATATTATAAAAGAACAAATGAACCAAATCAACCCAAGATTTATGCTTCCATAGACATAAAAAAATTAAGAGAGTTGAACCTTGGGAAAGCTTGCAAGAATGATCTTGATTTATATTCATGCATTCTGATAACTAAATTTAATACACCTTTGCCAGTGAAATTTCAGCATGACAGAGATGAGGCTTTTGGTCAGCATTTTGGGGCTATTCATAGCTATCAAAATCTTCCAAACCTAGGCTTCCCGTCTCAGCATCTTGGCTTCTTCATGGGAAATTTTGGCTGCCTCCCTTAAGATCAAGTATCCAGCCTTCCAGAGACACACAAACCTGCTTTCACCTCAATGCTCTGTGATGGAGAAGAATAAAGAGGAAGATCAGGAGAAGTGATGCAACAGACAACAAAATTTGCATAAATTAAACTGATTAAGAGAAACTTTGTTGTTATTGTGAAAATTGAAAAAAATGCCACTTCAGGGCTAAATAATGGGGAAAAAAACTACATCAACAATGGCACATGGCCAAAAGTAGGCTTCTTGTAACAATCATCTATCTCTTCTTTCTGGACAGAGATGACTTAGCAAGCGTCAAGCAAGTTCTGACTGTTAAAGTGTATGAAATCAAGTATAATGATCTCTTTCTAAGACACTTTGCGGACTTCAAAACTTGATTAACATTATTTAGGTATCTAGTAAAAAACTGCAAAAAACAAACCCCACAAACAACAACAACAAAAATCTATTTGTACATACCAGGAAACTCATTGATCTAAGACTTGTTTTATTCCAAGTGACAATGACAGAAAAGAAAATTCAGGGGCTGGGGATGTGGCTCAAGCGGTAGCGCGCTCGCCTGGCATGCGTGCAGCCCGGGTTCGATCCTCAGCACCACATACAAACAAAGATGTTGTGTCCGCCGAAAACTAAAAATTAAATAATAAAAAAAAATTAAAAAAAAAAGAAAAAGAAAATTCACCTGTATTAAGGCATGTATTCATATTTGAGACGAGGAGAACGCATTGAAAGCCTGAAGTCAGTCAGACCCAAACTCCAGTTTTCTTAGCTGTATGACCTTGTGTTTGTCATTTCACTGAGACTTTCTTCTTCTGGGAAAAAATAAGGACTAAATAAGGCCGCATATCTAAAGAGTTTAGCATAATGCCCAGTAGTTAGAAAGCCTGAAATTCATTTGTATATTGATGCTATTGATACCAAGAAATGGTTTATTAAATTATTTTAAGGTCCAAGAATGATAAATCCAGCCAGATTGTTACTGTTATGGGCGACTTAAAAACTGCTTTTAATGAATGTTTTTATTTATTAAAATGTTTAAATATTTTGAAAATTAAAGTGTTTAACTCTTGTATCTATAGTAAAAATTAAAACAACTGCATTAAAATGCACCAGGTGGAAGATCTAAATTGATATACAGTAATTTTATAATCTTTCATAATGTCAAAATTAACTATTTTTTTCTTTTTCAATTTGCACATTTAAAATTCCAGCATCAGTTCCTTTTAGAATTATTTGGGTCTCTATCATCCATAAGTGCTGAGCTGTGGCAAAGCCAAAGTTACTTATACAGGATAACATAACTTAATCTACGGGCAATTTAGTAGAAGTTTGTTTTGAATAAACTGTGTTTTGTTTTAAAAAAGATGCCTCACTTTGCTAATTTCAGAACAAACAGCTTTCTAATGGAAAGCATTTGCTGTTTTTATACCTCAAGTTAAATATTTCTGTCCACTCTTTAGTCAAAATGAAAACAGAACATAAAAAAACAATGACCTGGTTTGGTTTCTAACAGAACGATGTCAACAATCCTACATGATAAGTTAACCTCTCTGTTAAACATTCATTGAGTGCCTACCGGATTCTCTAGGCATTATGGGAAATGCAAAAATGACTCAGACGTGAAGATGGAAACACACTACCTTGATTTATGAGTTCAGTTCCTACTTGTCCAAAAGCAAAACAAAAGACAAATAAATGTTCATCAAAAATCTAAACACAAACCACTGAAGCATGAAATCATATGCTATCTCTCTCTTTCCACCTGGGATGTGAATTTATCCAGTGTACTCTTGCTATATACACTCTTTAGTCACTGAGCAGTCATCTTGGTTATCAGACTGACTATTACAGTATTGCAATGTTAGTGTTCAAGTAACCCTGATTTTACTTAATAACAATACCAAAGCAGGAAATTTGACTATGCCAAAGAGAAGGAATAACATGCTTTCTTAAGAGAAGGGTAAAAAGTTCTTGATTCAGGAAAGAAAAGGAATTGTATGCTAAGGTTGCTAAAATCTATAATACAATAAGATACTTAGAGAAAAAAACTACATTCATATGACTTATTACAGTATATTGATACAATTTTCCTATGTTATTATTTATTGTTTTAATACCTTACTATGCCAAATTTATAAACTTCATCATATATATATATATATATATATAACACATATTATATATAGGGTTTAGTACTTACTACCTGTGGTTTGGGGCATCCACTGGGAGACTTGGAAAGTATCCTACAAGTAAAAATGATAAGGGATAAGGAGTTACTATCTTTTCTATTTTGTAGAAATTCTTAACAGATTTTAGATTCAAGTCCTTTTTCCAATACATGAGTTGAAAATATCTTGGGCTGGGGCTGTAGCTCAGTGGCAGAGCACATGCCTAGCATGTGTGAGGCACTGGGTTTGATCCTCAGCACCACATAAAAAAATAAATAAAATAAAGGCATACTATCCATCTATAACTATAAAAAATTTAAAAAAGAAAATATCTTTTCCCACTCTGTGGGTGCCTATTACCTTTCTCTTAAGATCCCTCTTTTTCTTCCCCTCTGAAGGTGTTGGGAATTGAACCCAAGCCCAGGACCTCTTGCTTGCTAGGCAAGTGCTCTGTCACTGAGCCACACCCCCAGCCCAGCCTATTTCTTCTCTTAATGGAGTCTTTTGACAAATGGCAGTTGTTAATTTTATGTGGTCCAATTTGCCAATTTTTTCCTTATGGCTAGCACATTTTTTGTGTGTGTACTGGTTCAAGCGAACTGCTTACTCCAAAGTCATGAAGATTTCTCCAGTTTTTCTTTTAAAATCTATGTTGTTTTATTTTTCACATTTAGATCTGCAATCCTTCTGGAATCAGTTGTTTGCATATGATGTGAGATAGGCGTTAAAATATATTTTTTCATATGGATGACTCCCCTGTGCCATTTACCGTATTGAAAATATCATCGTTTCCTCCACTGTATGGCAGTGTCACCTTTATCACAAAACCAGGTGACTATGTCTGTATCTATGTCTTTCTATCTATCTAACTTTATCTGTGTTTGGACTCTGTTCTATTACATTGATCAGCTTATTTATTTTTATGTTTAGAAAACTTCATTAAAATAGTATTGGGTCTGGGGTTATGGCTCAGCAGTAGAGCGCTCGCCTCGCACATGCAAGGTCCTGGGTTTGATCCTCAGCACCACATAAAAATAAATAAATAAATAAATAAATAAATAAAGGTTATTGTATACAACTACAAAAAAAAATTTTTAAATAGTGTTTATGAGTTTGAATTTTGCCTCCTGGAACCAAGACAACACTTGAGGTGTGATTTCTCACCTGCAGCCCTCGCCATGCCATGGCAATTATCAAGGCACCCATCCTGTGGGTATATATGCAACACAAAAAATAGCACCATCACTCTCTCCTGCTCTTTCTTTCTCACCTTTACCCCAAGTCTTCATTCAGTCTCCATCTTCTCTCTATATGTGTTTGTCTCTCCATAATTATAAAAGTATGTTTTTATCATTAATCTGTTGAATATCTTATGCATCATTTTAAAAGCAATTGAATACAGAATTTACCATATTATTTTAAAAAATGGAATTGAATTACACTTACCCATATAGCTTTCAGTGCATATTTTCTACTATAAATTCAGTGGTTTTTGATTTTATAAAAAGATTCTACACTCTTACTATTCTTCCTCCTATGAGAAGGAGATTTTATTCCCATCTGATAATTTTATTCCCATCATGATAAAACTACATTCCATTTCTATTGTAATATAAACCCTTATAATAAAAATACATATTAAATATAATTGTGCCTTCCTAGAATGTGTAGAGATCATATTATCACATGTTGGGAATAGAGTCACGCAGTAATATAAAAAGCAGATTCCTTGTTGGAATGTCAGTTGTCTCAGTCTGGCTCACTTATGGGACAATAACCTGCCCAAAGCAGAGACTGTGGGTCATGCTCAACATTTCTGTATTTCTGTTAATTATTATTCAATCTCTCAGTTACCAGAGCTAAAATCCTCAGGACTATCTTTTACTCCTCCCTTTTCCCCATGGTGCAACTTTATATACACTTAAAAGCCCTTTTCACAGAATCTTGTGTCCAGTGCTTCCTGTGAACTCACTGTTACTATTTTCTCTTGGGTTTGTTTGATTTTTTAATCAGACTCTTCATATTGGCTTAAACAATAAGAAAGGTCATTATCTCTTAAAATAAGAAATATACAGGTAGAATGACCATTTCTGCTTCTCTGAAGTTCTCTTGGTCCCACCCTACTGGTCTGTTGACTCTGTACCCAACCTGGTACCAAGATGGCTGCACTGGTTCCAGGTTACACCCAGCAGACCTCTTCTCATCTAACTTCTGATATCATCGACTTCTGACATTACAGTAATTTGTTGGTCAGGGAGCACAGGTGGCTTCATTCTGATTGAACCTTGACCTCTCCATTTGAGATTCCCACAATCAGACTCCAAACTAACCTTTATCCTTTCTTCTCCCTAGTCCTTTATAACAGTGGTGTGGGCAAATGTTTCTGTAGAAGTCCAGATAGTAAATGTTTCAGGCTTTGAGAGTCATGTGGTCCTGTCACAATTACTTATCTCTACCCTTGTAGTACAGGAGCAGCCATATACATACAAGATAAGACAAAGTGGTGAGCAAGGGGATGAGGAGCACAAACAGATGTTAAAGCTCATCATGTAGACTCCCAAGGGCCATGATAAAGAGTTCAAATTCTGTTCTAAAGGTGATGAGAAGTGGTTGAAGGTGCTAAGTAGAGGAATGGTTGATCTGACTCTTAGGAGACTATTTCACTGTGATGTGTGGGGGTGTGCACTACAGGGGCATGAGAGCAGAGAGAATACTAGGGGTTTGTTGTCACAGTTTGGAAAAGGCTGACGGTGGTTCAGCCCTGGAAAGCCAGTGGGTCCTGGCAGCAAGCACACCCTCTTCTTGGTTTGTGCCCAGGGAAAGGAGCAGGCTCTGGCTTCAAGTTCTGTTCTTATTTCCCTCCTCTTTCTAGCCCCACTTCTTATCTGTGCCCTTTGCTGCATATTATAGTCCACTGTCAATATCCTTAAATCCTTTCTGAATATCCTGGGCAGTCCTAGAATCCTAGAACAGATTCTTTCTTTGTCCTCAAAATAACTTCATTATATTACCTGAAAAGAAGAAATGCCCTGCCAGGCATAGTGATGCAAGCCTGGAATTCCAGCAGCTGGTGAGGCTGAGTTAGGAAGATCACTTGAGTTCAAAGCCAGCCTCAGCAATTTAGCAGGGCCCTAATTAACTCAGTGAGACCTTATCTCAAAATAAAAAATAAAAGAGCTGGTGATGTGGCTTAGTGGTTAAGTGTTCCTGGGTTTAATCTCCATTACCAAAAAGAAAAGGGGGTGGGGGGAGAAAGAAAAGAAATGTCCCTCTTGTGTCTCCAGTGTGTTGGTGTTTCTCAATTAAAAGTATTAAGTTGGGAAAATAGTTGGGACTTGAGAGAAAGTAGATCCATAAAATGCAAATTGCCACAAGGAATAATTGATGATTGTAGATGATAGATCTCAAAAAGAAGTTTCTCTTTGACATTTTTCCTGGATTATGTGAAAGGGACACAATTGTGTAGACAGAATCAAGAAAGTCTTGGGCTGGAGATATGGCTCAGTGATAGACTGCCCCTGTGCTCAATCCCAGTACCTAAAAAAAAAAGTCTCAAGTTCTATTGCTATGAAGGGAAGGGCTACAACTAGAGAATTGAGGAATGAATGTGGACAGGGTGAAGTAAAATAGGAAGCTACTCCTTCAAAGGTCAGGGTGATTATGAAAATGCTTTGGTTTGAACTTTAAAATGTTACTGGAAATGAATCATTACACATGCATGTGTTCATGCATGCACCCCCACCCCCACCCACAGGCACACACATCAGAAAGAAGACAAACATCTTTTGTGAGTGGGCTTGTGTCAAATCAAAATACCATGATTATCCTTAAAATTTCTTGGGAGTGAATATAGAAGCTGTTTTATTCATAATAAAAATGTGGTCCCTCTCAAGACCAACTCTCCCAGCATGCTAGTCTCTTTCCTGTACATTGCAAAATGGCTTGCTGGCTTATCCACTCTTTGGTCACTTCTGCCTCTCTTCATTCTTAGTATATCCAGTGATGGCTCAGCCAGTCTGATGGAGCCCCTGACAGTTTTAGGTACCTCATTTGACCCAATCATTTATCTGTCTTGACAGTGAGGTCATAATTTCAAACATGGTATGGAAGTAAAATGTTTATTAAATTAGATGACTTACTAACACTTCTAGAACATTAAAAATCCATGGAGAAAATTTTTGTATGTCACACACACATACACACACACACACAAAACATGCACATACAAAACAAATCCATGGTGTGTCTATTGTATACAATATAGTTGCAGCCTATGAAGAAAGGACACAAGAAAAAGGAAGGAAAAGGGTAAGAAACTAGAGTTGACAAAGAGTAAAAGCAAAGATGGACCATGCATTCTACTTTTGGTGCAAATCCTCTAGCTGGAATTTCCATTGTTCTCTAAAGATGCTGTTGTCTTTCCCAGTCGCAGGCCAGGTAGGGCTCCAATCAGTACTCTTGTTGGGAAGCTAGGGAGTGGTGAGCAAGGGGATGAGGAGCACAAACAGATGTAGATCCATAAAATCCTTGTTGGATCAGTTTTTGATCACTTTTAGGAGACTTCACTTTGATCAACTGGCTCCAGATTGATCCCATTAAGTTCTCTAGAGTCACTGGCATGTCTAATCTGTTTTTCTTGGGAGTATTTGATCAAAGATAGAATGACACATGCCCATTATTACCAATACTAACATAATGATAAAGAGAAGCAATGGAAAGTAAAAGGAACCTGAAACAAGATTATAGGAGTTAAATCTCAGTTCTCTCATTCACTTGATGTGTGACCTTCAGCAAATTGTCTACCCTCTCTTGCCTCAGTTTTCCTATTCATAAAATGGGAATCGATGAGGGCATCTCCCTCCCAGGATTGTTGTGAGAGTTAGATGGATTAAAACATATAGGGCACTTGGAATTGCCCTGGTGATTTTTTTTTAGACCTCTGTAGAAGTTAGCCTGAACTTCTGCTTTTGTCTCAGTTAGGAATAACTGAAAGTGAAGGCAGGTAGCACATCCCACTGGTCCTCTCTGATTACCCCTCAACCACCCCAAGCCTGTGTGGCACAATGCTCTACCCTAGGTCTCCCTCTGAGGGGTCCGGAAGGGAGGCTGAAGAGAAATATGTAGACTGGTGGACTTCTGGTTTCCACTGGGGGCTCAGGCATTTCCTCCCCTCCCCCACCTATGAGAGGAGCCATCAGGATCTGGCCAAGCCTTGACGCAGTCCTCCTCTGGCTTTTCCTCCCACTTTCTGTCCACCCTTTGCTAATCTTCAGCCAGTAGAAGCTGGTGGGCTTCCTGGCCACCACTGTTGTGTGTTGCTTCACACTCCAGCTTCATGTGCTGAGGAAGATGCTCAGGATTACTCCCAAGGGATAAGGAAGTTTGGTGCCTGCAAAAATCTGCCCTAATCTTGATTGGAGTAAAATACCTATGGACATTATACCCACAGAAGGTTCCTCAAAAGTTATGTG